GGAAGTAACAATTATAAGAATATATTTCAATATCGAGATAAATATACAAATTTTTGAAATTCCTTTGCAATTTATTGTACAAAGTGAAGGTAATTGAAAGAATAGAGGTAATAGTGTTTCAGTGGCAGTTCTTGGTAACATTGGCAACGTGCTGGAAAATTGTAGTGACCGTCACTATCCGGAAAATTATGTTCAACTACTCAGAAAGGATATAATCAACATACAGTCAGCTCCTTATTCCGTGAAAGTTTCCTTCTGTCTGAAACAGTAGTATCTTCCATATTTCAATGACTTTTCGTTCATGCAATCTGTCTTTTAATTAATTCGTCAAACTTGTTGCTTTAAAAATCAAGATCTCAATTTCCGTTTCCTTTATCGTATAAAATACAATTTATAATTCCAGGAGAAACGAAACTTCATCATTGAAACAGTAAAGTATTCAGATAGTTTCCACATCACTATAATTTTTGGGAAATTAGGAAAATTACCCTTCAAATATCTGCGACTCACAAAATGTTGTTAGAACAAGCAAAAAGTTTGTTATAAGTATGAATAGAACAACGAAAATACAAAGTACCTTTCCTTATTTTTTTAATAATTATAGTAAGTCTTCTTACTGTACACGTATTAATTGCTAAGTCGAAATTGTCCAGAAATAATAATTAACTGCTAATAACACAAGTTGGTCGGTACATTCTTTTCCTGCAAATGTATTCATTGATCTGCTCGTGATTCGACGGAGTCGAAGATATTGAACGACTAAATCATGAATTTTCTGGGGTACGGTTTATTGTTGTTAGACACGGAAGGGGTATACATAATTTAAGATGAGTATCGGTTGTCCGCTTTAATGGTGGAATATTCTCTTCTCAATTATCGTGGATGATAACTGACCGGCAAATCGATCCATCGAGTCTTTCATGTTCACTCGAGCTAATAGTGAATTATGCAAATGAGTGGTTAATTAGTATTCTTTTCTTGCTTCGTAAGGTATGATAAGCACGCGATTGATTGATGCCAGTCATTGTGTTAGTTTATAACTCTAATTCTGATGTACATGATCCTGTTGCTTTCATTGTAACACGTTTTCTATTAACAACTTTTACTTTCTTAAATATACTAATCATTACTTGTGAATTTAAAATTCTTAAAAATCATATAGAATTGAAATATGTCGTTTATGAGAATTCTTCCAAAAGTTTATTGAATTTTATTAATATATTTCCTATGAGACGCATATAATATTTATTATAACTACAAGATAGAAAAATGTTTACCATATTGTGCACCTATTATGTAACAAAATTGAAACCACCTTCACTACAATATTAACCCTTTGCACACGAAAGTTCTTCCCTAGAAATATGCAACATTTTTCAATGAGATATAAACAATATTCTTTAAAACTAACAAATAAGAAAACGTAAATAAGTTTAGAAACAAAGCTACTTTATTTGAATATTTCACATATTGATATATTATATAGAGTATAATATTACATATAAGACAATAATTTTGCTATACCAAATCTAGTGGTGACCGAGAGTCGTCTCTCGAGTGCAGAGGGTTAAATAATAATCAACATTATTCCGATACATAGTAAGACAATTTAAAAACATCGATATATACAATAACTCGATTAATAACGAAGATCGGTTCACATTTATTACGACTAATAACATCAATTTTATCTAACGAACCTTTATTACCAACAGAAGATTACTATTCATCAAGACCACATCTGCAGCGTTAACTTCAAAGAAAGTTATTAGACACTCATTTCGCGTTTCACAATTCAGGAACGTATTGCGCAAGAGCCAATTTCAAAGAAGGCACGAAGTCTTCGTACGTATCGGACACGATAATTCCGCTCGAGGCTTCACTTACGAATCTATTCCTCTAATTCCTTCCTGAATTGGTAATCACTTTTCGATAGAACGATTTTCATCTGCTTCGGAAAAAAACTCGAATATTGACCAAGGGAAAGTCGATCGTCTCTATTTCGCGTGCCGATTCCCTGCAAACATTGCGAAAAATACGGGGCACGGTTGTTTCCTCAGTCCGTTTGACTGACGTTATAATTATCCATCGGATCATTAGAAATCTTCATTTCATTTCTGCAGAATCGTCCGCGATTCCAATCGAATAACGTTTCTACGTTACTGGCAACGATCATTCAATCATTTCGCGCGCGTAGCCAAACTTGTTACGTGACGCGACTTTCTTCGCGTATTCCCTTCGTTCTTGCTCCAATTACATTCAATTAATGCTCCAACGAAGATCATCAAATAATATCGCAGGTGTTTTTCAAAGGACGGCGTCGGATGTCTTCATAACGACGCTTGCGAAAGGAATATTGATTGCTCTCGCGCAACAGAAATGCTGATGCAGGTCCCTTTATCCGAGTAATCGTCGCGTTACTGTCGCATTATGGAAGTAGGTAACGAGAATTGTTGCGTTCGGATGCATCTTAAGTTGTGCCCCTTGCATTTAATTAAACCGGCACGCCAGAGCTCGTAGTTTCGATTAACCCCTTGCCTTACGATGACGCGTGAGACTCGTGAAGATTTCGAACAGAGTTTGACGAGCATGGATATTAATTTGGAATTCGAATTATATATTATTCTTTAATTATCAATTACTTGTTCTTTTTCTTAATAAATTATTAATTAGAATGTAGGCGTATCGATCATAGTTGACAAATATAATTTGATAAGTCTCAATTGCATTTACGTTTTCTAATATGAATGAAATATTACTTCTGTATTGTCAATCGTTAATCATTACAGTAAACTTAATATAGAATAAGTTTTAAATTCTTTGCTTTTTCTAAGGAATTATTATGGATTAGGAAGTTGATGAATACTTTATTATTGTCTCTATATATCCGTTTTAATTTATTTAATCAAAAGAAATCAAAATAGTTGTCAAATTGAGATAATCCTAATTCCAGCCACAGGCAGACAAATATATAGTGTTTAAAAAGATAAGTTGATTAAACTATTATTTCTTTCGAAATGCATGCAACAAGGCTATGTGCCGAGAGGATAAACGAAAATATTATAAAACTATTGAAAATCGAAGATATTGTCACTTTGTTCTTTACTTGTGAAAATACCATCGTTCGTTGCGCCCACCTTTTCCGTTCACGTGCTAGTAAAACTATTATCACTTTCCACCGTGTATCGATTACCGATGAAGTTCGTTTCCTAGCTTTTGTTACATGCACCAATAGTCATTTCTCTTCTGCCATTGCCACCTGCAGCGTTCATAAAAATATTTCGAAAAATATTTGCAACAGTTCCCTATAAATACTCGACTATTTCGTAAATAATGACGGGAGAAAGTTGACTACATGTCGACTTCGACTAAATACAACTGAGTTGTAAGTGGAAAATTTTTGGAAAGTATAATTTATGAAATACAAGTGATAAACGGAATAAGTAACAAAAGGTACAACGATACGAAGTTACTCTATAAAATTAACAATTTTGTATATTCTATTGATGGATGTATATGTATATGTATAATTCTATTAATTTATTATTAATTTACTAATATTAGAAGATTATATGAAATTATGCAATCGCAATAAACAAACTTTATGTTAAAAATCTAAGTAAAAAATTTTTTAATCATTATTACTCGTTCATTTCTTTCACACTGTTCATTTAAAAAGTTTAAGTGATATGGCAGGAATTTTAAAAGGATACATTTGAATAAATTTGAAAGAAGTAATGAAATCGAAAGTAAAACGTTCAGAATAGATATTTTATCATGGAATAAATTTATTTTAAACGATATTATATAGATATGCAATTTTTAAGTTGATCGCATATACTACCAGTGATATAGTCATTTAAATTATAATTCAACTATAAAAAATGATTGATCGCATTGGACCAAGTGGAAGAGAAAGTATTTTATAAATTTTATAAATTATTCTTAATTTCAAGTAATGAATAATAATTGTCTTTTTCATAATATTAGTAATTTTTTTAAATATTTCTTGAAACCTTGAAAAGTTAATACTACTTATATTATGTGTACAAAATACAATTATATTTAGATATAAGAAACTATTTATTGACACTATTAAACATAATTATTTAATATTTATCTTCCTACATTTGTCTATATAAATATTAACTACCATAAACATCCGTAGTCTTGCCCTCATTTATTATATAATGTTGTAAAATTTCGTTCATTAATTCGATAACAGTAGCAACGAAAATTTCCTATAAGCAATTCTTCGAAAGGTCACATGTAATCCCTGGATTGCCTTGGACGTTGCTCACAGTCTAAAAAACTAATTGGATCACCTAGTAAAAATGCAAAATAAAATCCAAAAATATTTGATCCATTGTTGAAAAGAACTTGAGGGCAAAAGAAGAGGATTTATTTTCATGACATTCAAAATTTCGCAAGAATTTTTTGTAACTTAACCAAGAATTATATTAAATATGTTCACACTCTAAATTTCCAGTGAAAACCAAACGTAAATAAAATTCAAACAGTTTATCGCTAATAACACTTGTTAAATTATTATAAAATATGTGGTATTTATTTATACACGTGAACGCAAGTGTATTATATATACATGATATACAAAAGATACATAGAATCTACTTAGATTATTATTAATATATTTAATTATATTGTATATATTATTATATAATAATTCTTTAATGTGTAATACGTGAACAGTTGTTTAGAAGGGCTTAGGTTGCAAATTTCAGTCGACTTTATGTTATGTGGTTGTCACATTATTTTCCAATATGAATAATTAACGCTGATATTATTTATAAAACAACATTCTATATGTCATAAGTAATAAATTACTGTTTAAGTGTTGAATTATCATTCTAATTTTTCAATTTTGAAGAAATGTAACATAGGCCACTTTTCTAGGCAACCATTCACGTGTATATTACACATAGACACAATCGTACATACTTATTACCATATAATAATCATATATATTCATTAAATTTCAGGTCGACGATTATAAAACCCCTAACGTCAGGGATCGTGGGGCACTGAGGTTCAACAGTAAATCTCCAGAAGAAGCATCCACCAGCCTCCCATTTTCAAGATCCAAATCCCCCAGGGACAAGGCCACGCAATCGAAGAAGTTCACCGAAAGGCGCGATGAAGGGACAAACCATTCCAACACCGAAACGAAATTCGAGTCGAGTAAACGCTCGAATTTCAGAACAACGAAAACATCGGAAAGAAACATCTCCACTGCAGGTGAAATAACGAACAGCTCCAGAAGATCACCCTTAGGTAAAAACATCGACGAAATCAAGAAAGGAGAGCCGACGATCAACAGGAGAAACGGGAAGAGATACTCATCGGACAGTAACGACGGAACGCGACCAAACGACGACAGGAACGTTCTATCGAATCCTCCGGTAGAATTATCCAGGAAAACGTTCACAAGAACGTTCAGTACTTACGAAGTCACTGAAAGATTAGACGGCAACGAACCTTCAGTTTTCACTGCTACCACTGAATCCTCGAGATCCAGAACCGGAAGGAAGATCCAGACGACGTTTACATCAAGAGATTTCAAGACTCAAATACCTACCTCCAGAAGATACAGCAACAGAAACTCTGAGGGTGCTGATCCAACGACAGTTTCGTTGAAAAGATCTGGAGGAAGACGATCAACAACAGAGAGGATCGAAAGAGGCACTAGGTCAGGCAGATCGAAAGTGAGCAACAGAGAGAGCAACGCGATCAGTCGGAAAAATCAAGACACTGTCCTCTCGGAATCCGAGAGTGTCAGGGTTGACATTCCTTTGACGGTAGAGAGCACTGAAAATCCTAGCACTGATGTCACCACGCCGGTCGGAGCTTTCTCGCAGAGGCAGTCGGTGACCGAGTTCAGCAGGAGGTCGGACACTAAGGAGTCTCTTAGAGTTAACTCGAGAAGAGGATCAGAGAGATCGAAGGGTCAAGGACGATTTAACAATTCCGACTCTAATTCGACCGGTAGAAGTTCAAGGAGAGGATCCTCCAAGTTCAATGACAACGCCACAACGGAGACCAGCGAGCAGACCGTTAGCTGGAAGAAGAACGCGATTTCTAGAGAACGTTCGAGGGTTGCGGAAGGAAAGAAGGCCGCTGCGAGCGAGCCGAGGTCTAGATTGAGGAATAGGAATTTCGAGAATAGTGTGAACAGTGCATCGACGGTTTCTGAACAAGAGGTTAAACGGAAGTCGTCTGGGGATAGGAATCTAGGGGAGCGGAGATCTAGGGTGCCTGAGAGCACTGCGAGATCCGTTGAAGGTCGTGGGCAGGATCAAGATACACGTAGGGGTAGGAGTAGGAGATTGAACGCGACAACTCCGGTTGCTTCGGGTGAGTAACTGAAATGTAGAAACCTATTTAGTTTTTTTGTTTTACTGAGAATAATTGTAAATATAGACGTTTAATTTCTTATTGTAATTAAGTATGATGTGTGGTTCAGTGGTTTCCAACTTTTATGCTACGACGCCTCCTTGAAAAATTTGTTTTCCGCGCCTCCTTGACTTTTAATAGATATAATAATATAGACACGTTTTAAATAGTAATAACTTTATTACAAAATAAACATTACTTCACTGAATTTGTACTGTTACGTTACGATATGAAGTTTATTCATTTGTAGATATTATGGGAACATTAATGTTTTATTCAAACCGTGGGTGTAGTTAGAGATTGATAATCGTTTAAATGTTATGGTTATCGTTCTCTGTAAACTATAGAGTTCGTTGTATGATTAATATTTAAACGTAATATTTTAATTTCTCAACATAACGAGTTTTATTTATTTATTCTGTTTAAGATGTAAGATAAAAGAACTGTGTTGATACTTTTCAAATAGGTACAATGATTCTTAAAATGTTTTGGCGGATGCATGTCTTTAGTATCAAGACAAAGACAAACAAATATAAATGTCACTTAATTCTTCCAAGTCCGAATTGAATATTATTCTTCTATTATTAACTGCAATGCCTCAGAGGAAATTATTTCTCTCTTTTTCTTATTATAAAATAACAGTGTTAAGCGCAATTGGAAAAGAAATGACAGGGCAAATTAAAGTCCTCTGTTTCTCATTCCACAGTAGATGTCACGTCAACAATTGCGCCGGAGACATCGGTCGTCACTGAAGTTCTGACAACTTCTACCGACGCCGAAATTCTGACCAGCACAGATAGATCCACAGCATCGACTACTGTTACCTCAAGAACGCTGACAACCACGGCCAGACCATCTTCAACCACGTCGGCTTCCGAAGGGCGAAATAGAGGCCGTGGCAGGGGCGGAAACCAAGGACGAGCGCAGCTTAAAGAGGATTTCTTCAATCATGGCCTTGGATTTAGAGGTCGCAAACCTTCGACGGAAGGACCAACCGCTGCTGGCGACTCTAAGAAGCCTGGCTCGTCAAAAAACGATTCGCACTATGGTAATCCAGGCTGGACACTTAGAAGACGACCGGGTTACTCGAACAACTCCGAAAGTCCTCCGAAGACAGCGCTACCCTCGCCAAGGGAGCAAACGAACGAAGTGATCCCATCGAACGAGCAATCGACGAGCACCGAAGTTGTGTCAACTGTGGAAAGCTCCACCAGGAGAAGCTTCAAGAAGCCACAAGCAAGCACCGAAGAAAGTACTACAGTGTCGGCCGCAACAACGAAAAGCTCGAGGAGGGGCAACAAGTCTTTTGGACTCAGCAAAGCGTCAACGGAGTCTGAGGAAAGCGACAACTACCCTCCCGAGTTTAAAGCGAGATTGTCCCAGCTGGTGAGTTTTTGAATTTAAGCCTGATTCCAGTAGGTTCATTTGCTATGTTGATAGGTGCATTGAAGAGTGATTAGTTATATTCTTTATAGAATTGTCGAATGGTTTAGAGTCTACGTTTGTTCCCTTGTGGGTCCGCGTTTAAATAAAATTGATTAGGGTTATTTGAGTTTTGAGTATTGAAGTTCGAATGAATGTTGGAATATTAAATTCGAGTTTAGGAATATTTAACCTTTTGCACTCGGAAGTATTTCGCTAGATGTATGTGATATTTTCTAACTAGACAGAGACGATGTTTTTTTAAAGTAACTCAAAGAGAAATCATAAGTGAAGTGAGAAACAAAGCTTTTTTATCTCAATATTTTACACACCGATGCATTTACATAGTTCATAATATTAAATTTACATTTACATAATATTAAATATCAAGTTTCATAGTTTTACTGCATAAAATCAAGTAGTGACTGAGAGTCACCTCTCGAGTGCAAAGGGTTAAGGATAAATCTTGTACTTGATATTCTTGATTATCTGAATTGCTTTCACTTCGTTTGGTAAGCTGAAAGTGTGTACACAATTTACACCATGGAACTGAAAATGATTAGAAACAGTAAATTTAAGTAAAAATGAACAATGTTTATGTACATTTTTTTATATTGCATATATAAGTTTGTTATATATAGGACGAAAAAAATAAAAAACATCTGTATACAAAGATCACGAGAATTAGAATATGAAATTGTCATTTGTCTTTTTTTATTTTCACTGTACTCGTGGATTTTCGCTTTTATTTCAATTTTAACGAAATTAATCGTTACGAAAGATGAAGCGAATTAATTGCAAATTATTCTAATTAAAATTACTACGTTTAGTGGAAACTATGTGCGATTAAAGTTCCAAATGAGAAAACGTTACGCTACGATGCAAATTTTTCTGTAATAGCATCGATCGATACGCAATTAAAGAAAGGGACTCGCATTCTAACCGAAAAGTATGATTTCAGAAGGTTACGAATACCAAAACATCAGCCCCGAAATCTACTTCTAGATCACCTTCAGAGGTAAGAGTTCACAGCGATCACCAAGCTCAGCTAACAGCATCTAAATCAGTTTCTATATTACTTGTTAATTGGTTGTAACATTTCTATGCTTCTATTCTAGTTGAACAATCTTCGGCTTCACATTACAACAATACTTAATACGTAGCGATAACCACTGACACTTTCGGAATGTGCAGAGTGTGAGTCACCTAACTAGATCGTTTTAAATTACTTACGAACCGTTTTTTACCTGAGAAAATGTTTCAAATAACAGTTTTACTACGTCAACGGAGACGTCTAGCAAGAAAAAGTGGTTCTCTTCTGATATTTTCCTCTTTTATCGAAGTATGAGAGTCGTTTCAGGTTTTTCAAGTGGAACACGTGGCATTTGAATTTTTAATTGATAGATTGCATGGTAAATTATTAACTTACATGGGTTTGAAGACTGGTAATCACTAAAACAATCTTTGTTAAAAGACAATGGAAGTTTTGGTAGGAAAAAATACATATAATATTTAATAGATGCCTCAAGCTATTGTTGCGTACACTAAAATTGGTGAAAGTGAATGTAACAAATCTCCCTAATTACGAAATTCGGTAATAATAAAATATAAGATAAATTCTCGTTTGTCGGGCATGCGACACGAATGTTGAACGTTATACACAAGTACATCCGATATTACGAAGGTCCTAATTAATTTCAACGTGAAGGACCATAGACGGCCTATTTTCCAGCTTTCACTGACGTGATTACTTCCTTGATT